CCTGGATCCAACCACATGTCACCTCCCAAGCTGCTTTCACCAGCCAGGAGAGGCATGGGTCAAAATGGCAAGTGGTGGCCTTCACAGTCCCTAGGACCCTGTCCACTTCCTCAGGAGCAACAGGATCAAACTGTTCCAAGATAAATGGGTAAGAACGGTCCCCCGGTATCTCTCCAGACCCTGCCCCGCGCTCAGAGTCTAACTTAATTAAATGTTAATTACTTAACATTTTCATCCAAGGCAATGATTCTTAGGTCACTCATTTTAGAAGGCAGTACCATTTAGAAGACATTATCATTCACCTGCTTTGTTCACTTTCTGAACAAAAATTGCAAGCGGACAAAACGAAGTAGGGAACATTAGAATGAAATAAACATTTTAAAATAAATGACTATCTGAAATAGTAGAATGAACAAGCTTTAAACTGGTCTGCTTTCCCAACATTTCCTTAATATTGATGTGTTTATTATAGGAAGAAACTAAACTGAAGACTCTTGTAAGCACAAGCACTTTACACACAGATTCCACCCTTAGTTTGTCTTCAGGACCTACTTCGGGATACAACAGTAGTAACACAGCTACTTATTCTACTAGTATTCTTGGCAAACAAGCCCAGGTAATACTAATTTCTGTTCCATCAAAGAATGAAAATAAAAGATTTTATAGAGTAAAATATATTATTTCATGTGATAGGTTTGATTTAGGATGGCAACAAGCTCACACAGGTGAGGTAACAAATCCTGTTTATTGAGCAGATGATTGGCAGTTTGGTTACAGACCATTAGCATCATTCTCTCTCCAAGATGATTTGTAAGAGGTCCAGGCATATGTTGTCTTCTCCTCCTGTTCTTTTTTATCAGTGGAGGTCCCCGTGATTCTAAATTCATACTGCCATCCATCAGAAGCCAACGTCAAAGCAAAGTCTGTTGCTCGCAGTCAGTTATGATTGGAGTTTTTTAAAAGCCCAGTAAAACAAAATAATAAAATATTCACATATGGCTATTTTGACTTTTTCCCCATATTTTAGGTTTGTCCCGAAGATGTGGAACCTTCAGCAGAAGATGCAAGAGGCCGCTCAGCTATTAGGAATCATCAGCTTTGCATACTCAAACAACTGCGAAAGGGGTCTGCTAGTGGTGAGGGATGAATAAATCATTTGAGGATGAGTTCTGTATCAAATATGTGCAGGGTGTTTCATGTATTTAAAAAAGCAGAAGAAAATCAAATATCTATGACTTATATTAGCTATCTGATTAACAAAAAGAGTGTAAGGTTAAATACTATAGCATACAGATAGGTCCAGTTTAAGAATGAGTTCCATTCCCAAGGTCTATCCTTAAGCTGAATTTGTATGTAAACCGGAATAGTATTATTGTATAATACTGTATAAGTAGTATTGTATAATTAACTCAAACCATTGTGTATTTAACTTGCATCATTGTGTATTTAACCCAAATTTTGCTACAACAGGCTCTCTTCTTAACTATGGGTTGTCTGTAACCTGGGCATTTTTTAACCCAGGGACTACCTGTACTAAAAGAATAGGGGTTGTTTCAAATGTTCCCAGGAAGTATCCTTCCTAGATTTTTCCAGAGTACATTAAACACCTGTTCTGGATCACTTGCATGGGAAGATTGCATCCTGCCTAGAACCTCTGGACAAAAATAATAAAGCACAACTGTCCCAAGCCATTAGTTTTGCCCTCTCCACTGACAGTGAACAAAAAAGGAGGGTTGGTTATATCAGATTTTCAGATCAACTGTTTCCTCCTCATGATTCATCTGTCCATATGTGACTATATATTTTCTCCAGCCTTGGAAATCTCAGTCCAATAAGTTAGTCTTGGTTTAATTTTAAAATTAATTTTTAAAAGCTCTAGTTTTATTAAAAAGGAAGTGGTCCATTTCTGAAATAGTGATACTAGGTTGGCTTTAAACGTTCATTGTAATGAGTATGGACTATACATGTACAATTCTGTGTGAATGGAAGACTTTCAGTTCTTCTACTCTGAACTGATCTGAAGAGTTTGGATTATGAACACTCAGAGCATGTTACTTTCAAACTTCATTAGCAAAATTACCTGTTATTGGAAGCAGAATAACGTGATCCACTAAAATTGTCCTATTTCAGTCAATTGTCCCATTTTGTCTATCCTGTGAATAAGTGACTCAAATCAGGTCTGCAATATAGGCTCCTTATTTATCTCATCTGTTACAGAGGCTTTTCCCGTGACCTCTTCATCTATGGAGAGGAGCAGCCATAAGTACTCTCATAGCCTAATTATTTCACCCAGCAACTCCTTTTCAGCTTCTCCAGTGAAAGGATATGAGGATCTGTCCAAACATGTCTTGGCTAATGCTACCGCTGAGGTGAGTAGATGAGTGTGTTGATTGTCCTGCTTTAGATGTCACTTAGGAAAATATTGAGCAGTTCTACAAAGTTGCTATTTAATCTTCCATTCTACTAGTTACTAAACCTCACTATATGCATTACATTTTTCTGTGTCTTTATCATCACCAACACAATCACAAAAACCTATATGCTATTCCATTTCAGAGGTATTGAGCTGATATTAATATAAAAACATTAATAACAAAAATAAATTAATATAATCAATCAGAACAATGCACCATCATTTGGGCTAGCATGATCTTACTGAACACAAATGGCTGTCTGAAATGGATGGTCTGGTTATCTGGTGGGTAAGCTGTTCCAAAAGAGGGAAGCCGTCACCCAGAAAGTTAAATCCTTGGGTTTCTGAAGATGGCTTTTCCTTGGCGGTAGGACACTCAGCAAATTGAATCTTACTGGGTACGCATCTTCAACTTGGAGAAGGTAGTCATGGAGAAATCTAGGCCCTGAGCCATGCACCTGTGAGCTATCTGGCAGCCAGTTGAATTCCCATAGCAGTGGTGTTTCATGAGCAAACCTCATTGTGCCCATAGCTGAAGCTTCTGGAAGGTCTTCAAGACCAATCCCACGTAGACTTGAAGTGCAGTAATCTAGCCACAAAGTGATAAGGGCTGAAAGGCTGAAACTGATGCAGAAGATGTACGAAGCCCCTCTTGACCACAGCTTCCACATGCCATTCAGGCAGGAGCTGTGAGTCCAAGAGAACCCTCAAGTTACAAGCAAGCTTCATGTGGGGAAGTGCTACCCCATCCAGAATCAAGGATGGATATCTCTGGATGCAAAGCTTCCAGATGCATAGCCATTCTGTCCAGATAGGATTCAATCTAAGCTCTAGAGAAAATATATGTAGTTCGGGGTTGAACTGTGGAGTCCTTGGTGCTCTCTCAGCTTGGTTGTTTGTTTGCAGATATTTCATTACCCAGCTAGGTAACATCAGTGGTGGTGAGTATGGGGTTTGCTCCATTTGGTAACTCTCTTATTAGGTGAGACAGGTAACTCTCTTGGCAGGATTGTGTGTGCCTAAAACTGCTCCAGAATGTGCTTTTTAGGTACTAGAATTCAAAGAATATCTCAAAACAGAATAAAAGAAAAATCCTTCGATGAAACTATTATATTTTGTTCTGATCACACTAAGATGTAACGTGACAGTGCACAAAACAACACTATTTAATTATTTATAATAAATATAATTTAATATAATAAATATAATTAAATATTACAAATGCGCCCTTCCAATTATGAGGAAGAGCCTGTTAGTAGCTCTCAACACCCCTTTCATATAGCAGCAATTTTCCCCCCTGTTCTTTTACTCCAGAGAAGGAAAGTGGAAATTCCTCTGTTTTTTTTCCCCCTCTCTAGTAGCGGAACTACAAGGCACGTTAGGCTGTTCTCCTGGGAAAACAAATGTACCAGTATAATGAGAAGATATAAGTCTTTAATTATGTATTAGGTAACCAGATTAGCATTTAAATCAGGGTTCCTCAACCTTGGCAACTTTAAGACGGGTGGACCTCAACTCCCAGAATTCCCCAGCCATTCCCCTTGCTGGCTGGGGAATTCTGGGAGTTGAAGTTCACCCGTCTTAAAGTTGCCAAGGTTGAGGAACCCTGATTTAAAGGACAAAGGGGAAAAGGAGAAAGGAAATCAGGGATCTGGCCAGCAGCAAGAACCATATGCATGCCCACAGAGACACACGTGGGTAGAATAAAATAGTCGCAAAGATATAAAGAACAGCTCAGATTAATCTATAATATATGTTAACGAAAGAATCCTATTTTGCATCTAGCTCCATGTTTTCCCTAGGTTACTAATTTTATTCTGATTCACCCATCCTTTTTTCAGGATTGGGGTGCCTGGTCTTTAGCTGGCCAAAGGCAGGCACCTGGTGCCTTCTCTGTACAATCCAACAGAGTCCGCTTGCTGTGGGTCCTGTCGATTAAGCAGGGTCATCTAGCAGGACCCAGGAAGTGAGCCTTTTCTACTGCAACCTCTCTGGAACAGCATCTTAGTTTGGCCCTGACCCTACCCGCCTTCAGGCAAGCTCTCAAAACCTGGCTCTTCCTTCATGCCTTGGGTTAGGATATCTGGTGATATGGGAGATTGTTTTGCATTTGTTCCCTTGTGTTTGTGTGTTTTTCTTCTGTTTTTAATTTTGTAAAGTTACCATTAAGAGTCATTTTTGGAATTCAGCAGCCTAGAAATTGGATGGATGGATGGATGGATGGATGGATGGATGCTTGCTTTCCTCCCAGGATGGATGATAAAAACAGGCAAAATTAAGTTGGCTTTTCCCCTTAAAAGGCTCAACCTGAGAGAGAGTGAAAATCTTCCAACTTCTGATTGGTTGCTTAGAGTTTGAGATTCTAAAGTTTTGCTGGACTGTGCCTGCTAAGTTCTCTTGTCACCCTATTTTGTGTAAGCTAGAATCTGTAATCTAGAGATTTCTTTGTAAGCCAAAGTACCACCAACTAGGAGGTAGACCCATATCAAGGATGTAAGTGATATGTTTATATATTCAGTTCATTTTTGGTGTGGAAATTACTTCTTTATACTGTCACTAATTTAAATAAGGAAAATTAAACCCAGTTCCAGTAGGTTGCTGGATACCTGCCTGGACCCCAGAAGAGAACATAATAAAATTCCCATATTAATCTGAGAAATTCTCACTAAATTTAAATAAAGCTGAATTCTGTATAAAGGGGCTGCAACTTCTGAACTATAACGTTGCATTTTACTTGCTTTAAAGGTTATGGCAGTGTGTTCAAATGACTTGAAAAACCTTTACAGTGGGCAGGCAACCGCTGGCTGGAAGTAAGTTTTGGCTGTAGATCCCTTCTATTTATACCAAGAGAGTACCTTTTATGGTACTTTTGCAGACAACTTGCTTTCCCCTTACATTTCTCCATTAGATATCAGTGCGCAGAGAAGAACGTGCTTGTTTATTATAAAGCCTTCTCATCATCTACAACTAAGCACGGGTTCTTGGGAGCAGGAGTGATCAACCAGCCTCTTTCCACGGTATTATGTATGTTGAAGGATCCCAGTAAGCGACATCTGTATGACAAAACCATTACCACTGCTCAGGTACATAAGAAAATAACCAGCAACATTGAATTGGGTGAGTACTTTTTGTATGACTTAATACTGTAGAAATGAGTTCATCGTTCACCTTTGTCCGAATTGTTTCTTAGCGTTGCTTAATCCTTCATAGGAATAATGAAGGAATTTGGCTAAAAGTGATAACAAGGAACTTTTGTCAGAAAAAAAATGTATAGTTACAACTGGCACAGCTTACAACAGAATAGCAGAGTTGGTGAATATTTTTTCTTACAAGGGCAGATATTAAAATTAAAGTCTGTTTCCCATGCATTTAGAAGTTACCTTGGTTTGTTGCAACACAAATTAAAAGCAAAGCCCTCACAAAGAGCTACATTGGAAAGGAAGGGCACAGAGCTCATATTAAAGAACGGTCTGCAGGCCTCTTTCCTTCCTGTTGAGTTCCAGGTCTTCCTAACTACACTATAGGTTTCCTTAAAAAAAACCTACAGACCATTTGGATGATATGGTAGTGATGGCTAAGAGTACATCCAGTTTCATGCATTAGGCATTTCCTGCCCTATCTCCCTCTCTTTGTCAGTGCCACCCAACTCCAAATTGACTCTGGGCAGCTCATAATATTTAAAAAACAAGATAAAAAGTACAGCAAAATAAATGAACAAGATGAAAAATCTGACCAACTAACAGCAAATCATATGCAACCATATGCCAAATACCTCCAACGAGGAGTTCCATCAACACCACTCCAAAGCCTGGGAGAAGGGGGGAAAACTGGGCAACCTGATGCAAAGCCTGTCATCTCAGCTCTTTTCAGGCATTACAAAATTCTGCATACTGTGAGTGGATGAAGACATGCCTGGAGCTCTCTCCCTTTCACTGCAACTCATCCTTGGTAGGGAAGGGCTGTCAACAGGGCTGTAACCATGTTTGGCTGAACATAAAGAGGAATCCTATTCATACCAGTTTCTTGATTGTGGAAAATACTATAACCATCCACCCTTCCCTTTCTTTATGAGGCTGTTAAGGGGGTGGGATTGCATTTCTGGAACAAATGGACTTGGACAGGGGCCTCCAGATAAGGAAACTGTTCAGAATTGTAAGCAGAGAATGTGTTGAAATATTCCAGTACAGTATTTAGGATTCATTCACGGAAGTAACTTACACAAGAACTCACAACTTAGGAATGCTTCCTGAGTATCAATTAATTTGTACATTAAAATCAGCTGTGGAGATTCTGCTTCTAGTCCACCTGTGGGTATTGCCCATAGTGTCATGACTTGAGACAAGACTTGATAGTGGAACTTAATTATGGAATTTATTCAGAGGAAAGTGTGATTGATCCCCATGTTACCAGGTTTAAGAGAACAATGAAGAGCATGTTTGTCTTCCTGAGGTTTCTGAGGTAATGCTTCTTGAAGTGATATTTGTTTTAGGTGGTATATGAGTAGGATGTTTTGTTTGTTTTAGACTTTTAGTGGACATTTTGATTTGATTTGGGGGGGGGTGTCAGTATTTGTGCAAGTGGTCTTTAGGAGTGACTTTTTCATCTGTGGGTGTTCCTTGAAGGAATAACTTGGTCACAAAATTATCCATGAATTGGTAATCTCAAAATTGGATTATTACTGTACACTCTATCTGGAACTAGCCTGAGTTTGGCCCAGAAGCTGCTGCTAATGCAAGACACCATGGCTAAATTGCTGGGGTGGTAGCCTCCCACTAATGCATTTCACCTATTCTGAAGGAACAGCTCTGGCTGCTTTACTGCTGAGCCCCATTCCGAACGCTTGGTATGAGGTAGGAGTCATCTCCTTGTTCCCTTCAGAGCAGCGGCTGAAAGATGCCTCACTAACCAGTCTTCGAAGTTTATGGCACCACCTTCCTCTCATCCCCTCCCATAACTGAGGCTGTATAACTGGAGGCGATGCACGATTTCTGGTGCTTCAGCAATGACTCTTGGGATGACCTGGTCAGGGACTGAGATCCACTTGCTCCTACTGGCTGCTTTCAGCTGCAGACACGCCTCCTCTGCTCTGGCGCTCCCCTTGTGTTGTTGGATTGACCGAGTGCTTGGCTGGTGCTTTGCAAAGCACAAGATGGGACTCACCAAAGTTGCTTGCTAACACATGTTCACTGTTCAAGGGAGAAAAGAAAATTACCCGTTTTTTGTTTTTTTAAGAAAAGGGTCTCTTTAAAACACGTTTGCACTGGTGGCTGTCATTTGGGCAACTGGAAAGATACTGCAAGGCATTTATTTTATTTTCCCTACATGATGATTAAATTGTCAGCAGACTTATAATAGCTTCTGTCGCAGGAGGAAGTCTCTGATTCAGACTCCCATCACTCCACCAGTGATTAGTGATTAGAAGGAAAGTGATTAGTGAATATTCCTGCCAGGAAGGACAGAGTGGAAATAACTATGGGAGGAGCAGTAGTCACCAATACAGATAATCCTCGCTTACCAACTCCAATTGGGACCAGCAACTCTGTTGTTAAGCACTGCAGTCTTTGAGTGAGACATCATATGACCACAACTTGTGACTTCACTTCCATGTTCTCCATTAATTCTGCTTGTTGGAAGCCAGCTGTGAAGCGTACAAATGGTGATCATGTGACTGTGGGACACTGCAATGGTTGTAAATGCACACCGGTAGCAAAGCACCCGAATGGCGATTATGTGACTGCAGGATGCTGCAACGGCTGTAATTTTTTTCAACCATTGTAACTTCGAACAGTCACTAAACAAGGCAGTCAGTAAGCAAGGACTACCTGTACCTGGTCTTCATTTGTCCTCCATTAAAGTGTAAAAACAGCACCACCTGCTGATCTCATTATTAAGGCGGGATGGAGATCAGCAAGCGGAATGCAGGAAATTATGCCGGCATCCATGTTACAGACTGGAGGAGGTATGTTAAAGTGGCTGCCTTATAAAACTGTAAAAAGTTTAGGATGGCAATATCTAAAGCAAGGCTTTTTAACCTTTTCCAAAATCTGGAACCTGTTAGTTAAAAAAATATCCCTGGAACCCAGATCAAAAGGCAAAGCTCTACTGATAGAAAATGAGCTACATCAGAGTGAATTTTTTCCCTTAATCTCTCACAGAACCCCATCAAGTTCTAGTGGAACCCCAAGGTTCCGTAGAACCCAGTTTGATCTAACGCAAGGCCAATCCCTGCCTGTCAGTCAAGGCTTAGAGGTGGCGCCCTCTTGAGCCTGCTGTGTTTGCCAGCGTTCAGCTATCTGAAGACTCCAAAAATTACATTCTCAGTACAAGCACCCCAGTTGTGGAATCCCTGTCTTGTCTACATCAAGTTGGTGCTAACCATTTTGAGCTTTTGGTATCAGCTTTGGTTCTGCCTCTTTCCCCTTTGGTTAAATGGATATTTTTATACTTTCTGGCCTTGTTTCACCTTGTCCTGATTTTTAAGCTATTTATCATTTTAGGTACACTATTGTTAGAGATTTGCCCTGAAGTTTTAAGATTGTGTTTAATTTATTGTAGATTACCGTTAATTGTACCCTGCTTTGAGGTGTGTTAATACAAAAAAGCAGTTTAACATTTTATTATTAATAGTAAACATAATTTACTGTTATCTTCTAGCTGCATTATGAGGACAAGCAGCTGGAAGAAGGGGATTGGGGGTAAAAAGTGTTGGGCATGGAAACAAGTTCAGTCCTCTGATTGGTGTGCTGCTTTCCCCATTTGACTAGATAGCTCAACTTTTCCCTTTTAATTACAGTGTATGTGGTGAGTGATGTTTCCCTTTGTTACCAAAAGCAACCAAGAGATTTCTGCTGCATCTGTGTAGAAGCCAAAGAGGTATGTAGATTACTGTTCTCAATATATTTTTAGTCACCACTTATACAGAAATAATCAAATTAACTTAACAAGGCCAGCTGAACAGTTACAGCGGCTATTAGGTTTTCAATCTCCATCCCTACATTTAAATAGTTGGGCATAAATTCCTTTACTTTCAGTTATTGAAATCACACAAACAATTTTCCATAAATTGTATGATGATGACAATGATGATGATGATGCGTATCTACCACCGGACTCCCTGTAATGGTATATGGGAATGACAGGAGGAAAAACCACAGCCTAGACAACAATCTGATAAATGAAATCGGAGTCCAAGGGTGGAGGGGAGAAAATGTCTCAGAAGGGGCCCTCCTTAGCTTTCGGGAGAGTAAAAGTAAGAGAGGGGAGAGATACTTTCAGACTTGCAAGATTCTGTTGTTGTAACGTTACAAAAAAGGTACTGTTAGTACTCACTAGACAACCCGTGACCCATTAGGTCATAGTTTCAGTTATATTTCCTTACCTAAACAGAGAAACAAAATGACCACAGGCAGGCAAAAAAGCAGTGGCAGCAGGAGCAACTTCTGACTTCACCGAGTTTCCTTGTGGGAAGTTGGCAGGGAGCATCAGAAATCTCCCATGGATGCTCCCCAATCCGCACCACACCCCCATGCACCCTCCCCAACCCACACCCTTACGCATCCTCCCTGACCTGTGCCATGCCTCTTCCACACCCCTGCACACCATCCGCAACCCTTGCCACATTTCTTGTGCACCTGTTCACTCCTTCCCCCACCTGGCAGCAGCCACTTAAAGCCTGCTGGCCTTGGACTTTCAACTTCCTGTTGGCTTCCCCACTGACTTTGCTTGTGGGAAGCTGCCAGGGAGCTTTGGAAATAACAATCACATGGCCGCAGCTGACTGCGGCAATGCTGAAGCGGCCACAACTTTGCCAAATTTGGGATGGGATTTTGGACACATTCTGTAAACGCATTCTGTAAGTTAGCCCATTTGAGGTATCTTGGTTGAAAAATAGTTGCCTTATGATGTACTGTTTTTCCCAATTGAAGGTTACAGACAGATAGTCATGAGAGTTTTAGTAGTATATAGATGGTTGGTGCTTCTTGTCTGGACTACCTCAAAGGGCTGACACTACCAGAGAGACTGGGCAGTTCACAAATTAAAAACACAGAAAAATAACAATGTAAAAATAAAGACAAAGGAGCAAAATGATGGGAAACCAGGTAACAACAAAAAAACTACACACACTACTCAGAAGGGGCTTCAGTCACCCTTGCCAAAGGCCTAGGTGGACAACCAGGTCTTCAGTGCCCTTCAAAGCACCAGTAAGTTCTGGAAGTCACCCAGATCATGGGACAAACCTCATGCCAGAGAGCAGGCACTGCAATAGAGAAGGCACATTTCCTGGGGTCCCAATAGATGGCATTGTTTAATTGAAGGAACCCAGAGTGTGCCAACCCTGCCAGATTGGATCAGGCAGGCAGATACTATGGGAGGTAGGAAGTCCCTCAAGTAACCAGGCCCTGTACTTGTACGATATCAGAAAAGTCTAGCAGCCTGTCCTTATGTTGAAAATAATTTGATAAAGGCTGGAAAACCAGTCAATAGGAGGAGAACACCAGAGCTGCTACTGGATTTTTGCATTAATTCTCACGATTCCTTTCACCTAGGAAAATATGTACATTTTAGCTCTTCAGTCTGTCTATGAAGAGTCAATGCCTCGCCCTTGTAAAGAAATGGTACGAGGAGAGATTTTGCCCAGTGCATGGATATTAGAACCTGATACTGCGAATGGAAAAGACATCACTAAAGTCATATATATGGTACAGGTAAGTATCTGTGCAGACCTAGACAAAAAGTCACTATACGGTATATTACATCTGGAAGATTGCTTGCTACAACATAGTGACAACTTAAAGCAACTGAAAATGAATTTAATAGCAGTAAATTGTGCAAGGAAATATGACAGGATTTTATATAAGACCCTTGGTTAATGGACCTTATATCAAAGGCATTACTTGACTGATCTGCAAAGTTTTTCATTAGTGCATTGTTGCTCAAGAACCACAAAATAAGTGTCACTTGGGGAGGCAAACCTGGTTTTATTTTTTAAGTAAAGATTTGGTGCTGAGAAAAGTGCCAGGAAGCAGCTGAAATGCCTGCCCTCTTAAGTGTCATTCTGTGGTGCTAAGGCCCCAAAACTATTATTGGGAATGAATATGGCAGTGAACTTTATCCAGCTGCTGGAACTTCTACCCAGGGGAGCATAAGAATAACAGGTGGATCCACCCAAGCACTGATTATGCAAAGGCCAAAAATAATATGTGGATTGGTATAAATCCAACCCATTTTATTGCCATTTTTGCAGAGCAGACTTTGGCCTATTTTATGTCTAGATTTTTAATAAGGTATCTGGACATAAACCCAGTGATCTGTTTTCGTAATGATCTGTATGAATGCTCCTGGTTCCTTGCTTTTTATTTCTTCCATAGCAAAGATGCGCCATGTTTGCTGCAAGATGAGGCTAGCCTCAAAAGCTGCTTCTTTTCCACTACTTCCATTGTGGGCAGGCTGGGTATATGTTAGACATCTAATACTAGTCCTGCGTACACAGCAAACACAATGATACAACATTAAACCTCAGCTGAGAGATTGTAACTAAGATGTGCAAATCTCTATCATGACAGCTTTGAATGTCTTCAGAACTTAATTGCTAAAAAAGATGCTAACTTTGCTTAGGTAAAGAAAAAAAAAAGCTTTGTGGTCCTGTGGACTCTTGCCATACTCTCTTGCTTACTTAGCAGCATTTGCTTCATGAGCATATGAAATTTAAAAGATAACATATGTTGTAAGCAAGGCAAAGAAATTCTGCTTTTGGACGATTAATGCAGTTTTGCCCTTCACTGCTAACCTCATGCTCCAAATCACATCTTCTTCAATCACCCATATATTAGTTATGCATGTCCAAAGGACAGACCTACTCAGAGTAAATAAAAAGGAAATTGGGGAGTTATGACCTGGATTTATTTACTGAATTTAAGAACAAGAGCATTGATGACATCAGGGCAAAGTAACGTTCTGATAAATAAATAAGATGAAAAAAACTTTTAAGGAACTTGTGAAAAATTAACATAGAAGTACTGGTTAAAAGAGAAAATAATTAAGCAAGTCCTGTATTTTCTTTTGATACACTTCCTTCTTCTCTCTAGCTATTCAGATACTTTTTTTGCATATGAATGTGCATTTCCAATTAAAAGTTAAATATTAATTTTCATTTGGCTGAGGTTTGGGGGGACAGGGTTGATTAAAATTCTATGGCTATGTTCACACAACACCATGGGTTACTGAACTAACTCACTTAGGTCTGCCACAACACATTAAACCACACTGGCTGGATTCACCTTTTTTATCATGTGGTTTGAGCAAAACCTAAACTGAAGCCGTGTTATTTGGTAGTAAGTATCATTGAGTCCAGTGGCTCCTGAAGCCAACCTACTGTGCAAAAGATTGTAATCAAGGGGATCCTTATCAACTGGATAATATGCTTGATATTGTTGCTCTTTGAAATCTGTATTCACAGAGACACAAATAACTTCTGCATTACATCACACTTGTAGGCTTTCTCCTATACAGTATGTACCGCATGGATCACAGGTGGGACCTGGAGACGCTTTGTAGCACTGTTCTTTGGTAGTCAAGTAGCCATCTGTTCCTTGTGTATTGGGGAATCCTGTTTCACATACAAAGTGAGAATGGGACTTTAGTTGATTTTTGCAAGCTGGATTAGCAGTCTGTTTAAGTTAGATCCCTGTATCAGGCCCAAGAGGAACATTCATCTTGTGTTGTTTTCCAGAAACATTTGGTATTGAATAGCACTGCTAAATATCAGCTAAAAAATTTTTCTTTTGAATTACTGCAGGTTGACCTTGGTGCCCCAGCCATTCCTGCAAGACTTCTGAATTCTATTGTAAAGCGACAACCTTTGGTAATTGCTCAGCTTTCCCACTATCTCACTGCTTAGATGGTATAATACATAGTATTAACAAACTCATCTGTTTCAGTAACAAAATGTAAATACCAGCAACAGCAGAACTTGTTTTCCATTTGTTCTCCAAAACTGGTGGCAGGAAGAAATACTCGCCAAACTACACAAAATCACAAATGGTTATTCTGCATTGCAGATTGTTCTCATTCAGTTAGAGAAAAAACCTTGAATGAGATTTCTTGTTTGATCATTTAGAGAAAAGGCAACCTTTACAGATACAGTGGTCAAGAATTTTTCCTTGTAATCATTTACTTGTACACATTGGTGGTTTTACATTGAATTTTTCCTTCAGTCAGATGATTATAGAAAGGCTTCTGGTGCAGTAAAACACAAAAGAATTTTTTTATTTTAAGGAGCACTTCACCTTGGAAGCTAAGCTAAGCTACTATAAGGCTCTGCAGAGTGCCTGACCAATGAAGAATTCATAGTAATAACTCTCTACAATATTACTGGCTGGAGAAGCAACTAACTCTCAAGGGTGTGCTCACTTGTGAAGATGTGAAATGGTTATTGCTTTCTCTCAGTCAGAAATGCAACTCAGGAAGAGAGACAATGTTCTGTTACAGGATATACTTTTTCATTACTACAGAATCACTCTACCATAAGACTACATGTTGAAAACCAGTAAGTTAACAGCACTAACACAAGTGCAAGTTTACTACATAGCTCCAACTACACTCTGAATGCTGGATAGGGATTTCTGTCACAGCATCTCATTCAGCAGATATCTTTTCAACTTTTCTTTTGTTGGAAGAGCGGCAGGATCAATGACAATGAAAATAAGCTTAAAACAGAGAAAGTCCACCATGGCTTTACTCCATGACTTTATCAGGTTGAAAATCAAACCTCTCCATCTCAACTAGTCCTGTCATGTCTACTTGCATTCCCCATGAGCTGCTTTATAAAATTACTTTTTTATACTTACGCTCTTCAATGTCTGTTTGTTTTTTTTTGGTAACAAATTTGATTGTATAAAACAAACTGCAAACCACCATTCATATAATTACATTCATAGTGAACAAGCATAGAATTAACATTCTCATCCCACACTGTTGCTATAGCAATTAGTGTTTGAAAGTAGGTTTTATTCATGTGAATGTGCACACTATTTGATTCAGGTTATTTCTAAGAATACAATTCAAGTTATATAACCTTGTATTACTGCTACCTATTGCACCATTTTCTGCCAGCCTGCTTTTAGTAATTAGAAATCTGCTAATCCTGGAAAAAGACAATGGCACATTTCTCTACTGTTGTCAATAAAATGGTATCGCTAGGCCTGCGTGGTCCCCAGGAGTCAAACTCAATTTGAAGGTGACTTATCCTCCCTTGAGCACTTAAGGTTTTACATCCAATCGTTACTTAGTACTGCTTACTGCCCCCAACTTAATTGCAGCATTTTATGCAATAAAGATTACTAAGCGGTATTGTTCCTGAAAATGGAACTGAGCATATAAGAGAGAAAGGCAGGTTGTAAAATATCTCATTGTTCCCAGATATTGTTGGAAGGCAACTAAGCTTAGGAATTATGGTAGCATAAAACGGTAAGAAATGACAAGATTTCAGAAGCTGCACACAGACAGCATGGTGTTTTCCATGTCTTATTTCTGCTGGACTAGGTAAAGAGAACCTCCCTTTCCCCACAAACATGTGGAAAGTGCCTTCGACTCTTAAATGGAACTGCTTGCACTTTTTTTTTTTTAAAACAATAGTGTCTAAAACTAATTCAGCTGGGGAGTGTGGGCAGCACATGTGAAGCTACATTTCAGTGCACACACTGACTTGGCTTTGTTAAATAGAGATCACCTTGGCGCTGTGCTTGTAGCTCACCCATAAGCATCAGATGATCCAAATAAAGCACAGATGTTGGCTGACAAAATAAATGTTGATCTATGTCAAGCAATTGATACAACTACAGAAATCATGTATAGCATCTGAAACACCAGCTTTGTTGTCCTTTGGGTTTTTTGAAGTGGGAGGGTGAGAAGAGTTTCAGTTCATTATCTACTCTACCAGAAATCACATAATTCAAGATGGGAAGCAGATTTGATTCTAGGAACTCATTCCAAGAATCACTGGCTACTTGTTTATTTTTTCCATTACTTTTTGAACATAGCACCCTTATTAATGAATCAAGCAATTTTAGCAGGAACATCTAAGATGGACTTTTCTCATAATGCAGATGTGCTTGTCAAAGGATAATGTCTTATTGTACAGAGCATCAGATGTTTATTTTTATAACTGCATACAACTCTTTACTTCTATGTTTACAAATTAAGTTATTTATATATACTTATTTTGAAATGGTTTTATATGCTGAAGCTAATTATTATTTTTACAGTTATTCAATTAATGTATGCTTTTTAGAAATAATTGTTACATTAAAATACTATTTATAAAATAATTTTTGCACTTATAACACTATGGTACCTGTGAATGCCTGGGATAGGAAGAATAGTCTTAAAATGGGGCAAAACCTTTTACTGAATGTGAGAAAATATACTACTTTATTGAAACATACCTTTAGCCCATACCTGCTTTTAACCAAGATTGCTATTTTCATATCCTCACAATAAATTTTTATATATAGAAAATGGCTAAAAGTGGCATCTTTCTTGCTGAATTCTTTTCTCTACCCTCCCCCCTGTAAAATAAATTTTACTATTTTACATTGTCAGAGTGAATAACTGAAGCCATAGGTTTTACACACATTTTTCATAATAGAGATTCCTTAGATCAGAATTGTGAACAGTCCAGCAAAAACTAACCCAATAGCCACCTCATCTAGAAATTTCTTCAGTGAAGTTTGTTTGGGATCACCTCTAAGGAAGACAGAAAAAGACCATTTGTGGCATGCACCAATTTCACACATTATTTTTAATAATAAGAAAACAAGCAGGTTTCCAAAGAAAACTATATTACTATATTGCAAGGAAAAAGGAAGGAGGGAAGGAGAGAAGGAAGGTGGTTCATAGGAAATTCAGTCTCATATCAAAGTAAAGTTTTGGCAGTCCTTGTGTCAGCCTTTTTCATAGGCAAGATTGTAGAGCTGTCTTCTATATAAATACTTTTAAATGGCAAATATTTCAGTTTATAATTAAATGGTGGCATCATTCAAAACAATATTCCCCATAAAAGTAATTTTTTTCTCTCTATTAGAAAATCACAAATACAAAATGTGGCAAGAGCAGGGACCTTTTAAAAAAAATCCAAGCCAATACTAGTGCTCTGACAGCAATGATTATGTTTTGAGACATAGTTCAACTGAAAAATCAAGGATGAGCATCTGTTAAATACCAGATTAACTACCAGGCTTACATTCAGGTTCACTTGTCAATGCCTCAATGGACTGCACTGCAATGTGAGAATTCCCTTTGTGTTAGAAACTGATCCCTTCAGTTGTGTTTCACACATCTATGAAGATTCTGGAACCTGGAAGCCACACATTTCTATACAAAACAGCTTTGTTCCTGCAATTCTAATTAAGGTGCTTGAACTGGCTTCTAAAACTGTGTACACTGTAGAAATTGGACATTGTGTTTGAGGGCAAGATCCATACTAATTCTGAGTGCAATTTTTGCCAGGGCATTTGTAAGCAATCCCAATTTTTAAACATGGTGATTCTGCTAACTTTGGGCTGCTACTGTTTCTCTTGGCTGCGATCCTAAATCACAAGCTAAAGTCTTTGGTTCTGTAGTGTGAGTTTTGGAAATGAATATTCTCAACACAGCTTCTAGTTCCTTGGAAAAGTCCTACAAAGAAAAAGCAGAGAGCGGTTAGCAATATCTGAGTAGGGATATTTTTTTACTCAACAGTTGATATACAAGTGATTTAACAATCCTGAACAGACCATAAATATGCCAGTTATTGGCTTTGCTGTTTTACAATGACTTTTATTAGATTTATTACACACCTGGAGAGCAAGAATAATAGGATTCCACAGATCTTCCATTTTCTTTGGCACTTCTATCCTTCTACCTCCAGCAATAGCTCATTGCTATTTCTTTATACACAGCATGTTAAGACTTTATGTCTTTCAGGGTATTTGTCTGTATCACCACTCCAAAATAGCTACACAATGCCACTTACCTATATCAGCTGGAAATGGTAACACAAATACTATAGTTAAGTAACAATAATGACACATGTTATTTCTAAACAGGGAGGGGAATACTTCTCAGTTTCCCAGTTTTAAATTTTAAATAGAATCTCCCAGCAGTGATATTTTAGTTCATAAACCCAGTAACTCTGTAGGAAAAAAATACTAGTCTCAATATTTATTATTTGTTTTTAAAACGTATAGCCTATATTTTGGTTGGCTTGATGGTTCTTTATTTCTACATTGAAGGCCACTAACTATAGGAAATAAAACATAAGTAGTTAACATCATTATTAAACTGAAGAGAAAGATCTTGGCATATTTCCTGAAAACTGGAAAGGGGGCAGGGCAGAGCTGTAAGAATTCTGAGTGTACATTCCATATATTGGAGCAACACAGAAAATGATTTTCTCTGTGTCCCAGTCTTCAGAAAGTGAATGTGTCTTTAACAGGCTTCTCTTGCTAATCTTAATGTCCAGACAAGGTGCATCCTGAACGTTGGCTAACAATTTGAAGAAAAGCCTAAGGCTTAAGCTGTCAAAACTAATAATTTAAACTGAGGTTGGAAAACCACTAGCAATCACTGTAGATAATTCCATGAAGTGCTAATTGTCTCCTGATTGTTGCAGCTGCCACACTTTGAAACTTTTGGACAATTGTAAAGGCTGCTCCTCATAAAACACATTGCAGCATTCAACTTGGTGGTAGCCAAGATATAGCCATCAATTGCCAGATCTAGCCAGCTCAAGAATCATCACAACTGGTACATTAATTATAACTCTGCAAATGTGCTTTTTGTCACCACCGTCACCTGGAAATTCACATAGAGCTGGAGATCAAGGAATATTCCCAAGCTGCAAACTTCTTCTTTCAAAAAGAATGCAATTCTGTCCAGAATGTCCAATTCCAGAACCTGATCTCTTGCTACCAAATGAAGTGAGCCCAGATAATCAATATTATCCACTTCTGGAGTCGCAAAGCCACCGTCTTCTTGCTCAGAAATGGTATATGTGTCATCAGCCAATTATTTCCCACTACTTCTGGATCAAATAAAGGCTTCTTTATTAACAGTCTTATCACTGCCACCTTTAAGGCAGGACAGACAAACCCTTCCTACAAGGAAGCAACAGTCAGTCCCATGTCTCAAACTCCAATTGTCGCAAATGCCTCTCTAGGGTTAGTTTAGAAAATCTCCAGTGAGCCAAAAATGATGGAAATCCTGGCACAAATTTACTATATGGTATTTTTAAAAAGCTATACTACTTTTCCATTTCACATTGGTCACTTCGACTATCCTCTAAGAGCATTCCAAGTGGACTTCAGCATGATTCATCTGCCACTTCATTCAAGCTGTCATACCTTTTGCTTCATCATCCTTAAGAGGGCTAACTTTGTGAAAAGGAAAATAGTATGAACTAAAGCCTATTTGGAGCACTATTCTGAGGCAGTGAAGAATACTTAAACATTTAATTTTCAACAGTGTACTCCAGAATATAAATACCTGTTTGCCCAGAATACAGAAATGAGCTTTTAAAAATAGTATTGCAAATACAGGAAAAAAGGACCCCAAATCAACATGTTGTGCATAATTCATAAATTACTTACCAAAGGCCACATGTGCTTCTGGAGGTCATGCAAACAGTGCTCTATCTCTGTACTTGTCATCAATTCGTGCTCAACAAGGCCATGAAGCATGAATAAAAACAAGCCCCACTGCAATTAAACAAAAAAATAAATAAAAATTAAAAAATCAGAGACCTACAAACTGCAGTATAATTACAGAAGCAATACAAACATGCAAACCTAAAGACTGTGTTGACTCTGAGACGTACAATTGTTCCTAACGGATACATTAGGAAAGCAATTATTTGAATCCACAAAGCATTAGACCCATGTTTGAGAAAAGAACAAGCTCCTTATTGAGTTGGGAGTACAAATTCCCTCCAATTTATGCCTGCAGTAATGAAGGACAGAAAAAGCCTGATTTAACAAAGCACAAAAGTTGCAAAGTTTCTCTCCCCAAGCTAAAAGCTCCAATAAGATCACATATTCCATGGAAAGGAACTATGAATTATTGATGGCTAGAAAAGGAAAAAAACCAGGAGGATGACCCATCTATGAATCTGATGATCCACTACTTTCCCTATATAAACATTCTGCCTCTTGAGCATTTTGAACGCTTCCCTTGTTACCTGGTAAAAAAAGAGAGAAGCTGGCTTGTTTTCTCTGGCACAGCCTTGTTTGTGTATTTTACCTTCTTACTCCTTTTAGTTAGTTCTTACTTTTCTCTCCTGGGCTCATTCTGCCTTTCACCAACCACAATTTTGGTGTCCTCCAGATTTCAATGAAAAAAGTCTCCTAGCCTATGATGACATTCAGTGGCCGTTCAATGCTCCTTCTCCTTTGCACTCCTGGATCACAGCTCAATTTATGGAAGAAATGTGACTGGTTCATGTTGCTGGCAGGAATGCAAGAGCCATTACTGAGGAAATCACTACATGCAGAACTTTCATACCACCTCAAATGTTTTTCTTTTTAATGATGGCAGATTAGATTAGTGCCATCCCTTTTGCTATTCCAAAAGGCCCTCAAGGCCTGGTCATGTGATCAGGCCTGGGGCTCCCAGGGAATTGGACACCTGCTTAGATGGCTCCATTGCTGAGGGGGCCATTTTTATTCTCCCTTCCCCTATAGTTTGTATTTCTGTTTTTTTTTACAGTATTTATTAATTTTTTTAAATATTTCTTCTGTTGTTTTTATCAGTCTTTTTATCTGATTGTTGTATGCCACCCAGTGTCGCTTTGGTGAGATGGGCGGCTCTATAAATTTGCTAAATAAATAAATAATCAATCAATCTACAGATAATCAGATATATCTGACTTAGAGAATTTAGCCTTCAGCTACTTTTGTTATGTGGAAATTAGTGGAAATAACTGTAATATATTGGAATATTGAAAATCACTGAAAATTGGCTTGGAAACATTACTTAGAAACATTACTTGAAAATATGTGAGGTAGCAGAGTAACAGATAGCAGAATGGTTAAGTTTATAAGTGCATCAGCAACTGAGAAATTATACATACAGTCAGGTCCAGAAATATTGGGAGATCGACACAATTCTAACCTCTTTGGCTCTATACACCACCACAATGGATTTAGAATGAAACAAACACAATGTGCCTTAAC